AGTTCCTGGTCAAATCCAACGTACGTCAGCTAGAGTTCTATTGATGCTTTTTTGTGCTAGGAGCTACGAAAAACACATCGATACCTTGATTTTGAAGAATTCTGAAAGAATTTCAAATCGCGTCATTTTTCGGAGCTTGCTGCTAACCGCTAAGCCGTGGCATTTTTTTAAGCAGGGTTTTTCCGCCTCGATACTATTGCTGACGTCACTTCACATCTCGTTTCGCGGTGCTATACAAGTAGGGTGGGCACGCCGCATTTTTTGAACAGAAATGTATGTAAGTGGGACTGCTGCCCGCTACTATACTGTCACGAGAATCGGGGAATTCGTGAGCCAGGTGTAGCCAATCTAGGGGGTGGGGTGAGGGCAGTCACTTGACATGCGTGAAAAACTGGGCGTGCAAACCCCATTTGTATAGAGCCCGTTTCTCTACTTAACAATATGTTCTGGTTTTATTTGAATGACTGGGGTCGAATTTGAGGCAAACGCAGTAAGGTGATCAATCGCCGCGAACAGCGACATGGCTTCATTGATTATTTTTGATCAACCATTGTCGATAATGGCACCCACCGGTGGGTGCCGCTCGATCCTCCGCGTGGGTTTGTGGCACTCAATAGTGGGTACCACCTTAGAATTCCCATCATTGCGCATTTGAAACATTCGTAACATACCAGGAATGGAAAGTAAGCTGTAAAATTTCTATGATTAAAATGGCTTACGGAAAGGTTTAATAAGAGCCAATTTATACAAAATTTTACAATGTGGCATTCAGTTAGACGACTCGCTAGCAGGTTGGGTTTCGCATTATTAAGCCGAAAATTCCTAGGTCTTCGGACACAGGGAGGGTTTTGAACTGTATCAAAATTTTACTGTACACATAAACTTTAGTTTTACCCATCCTCCATCCCTTTGAAATCCGAGTTCCCCTTCCAAACTTCCAATTCTCTGTCCATCAACACATAATATGAAAGTTTAAGGTGCAGTAGTATTTGATGTAATGTTAAAGTCAAAAATTCGATAGAAAACTCCTTTCAGGGACAAATTTTCCCAAGGTTGAGCCATAGGTGGGCGCGGCAAAAGAGGCGTGCTCCCAAGAGCTCCTACGCGCAAATCTGCATTGACATCAAAATGGTAAATATGACCCACCAGTGGTTCGATGTACCCACCAAATTGCCACGCTTTTTTCAGTACTTCCACCAGTTTTCCAATGTGTCAGCAGTAAAAACCTTCAGGTCTAGATTGGACAAGATGGCGGTCAGCCATGTAGCTCTGACAGCAAAACCAAAAAAGAAGGAACACAAGTTATCGGAAAACCCAATAGCGAACTGTTCAGAGATCGTGACTAAGTACAGGGAACATAATTGATTGATGTCCTAATGGAGTAAATATAATGGTTCGGATTAGATTTTGTTTGAGTAATTCCCGTAGACTGGACCACCCATTACGCAAGCCGAAAGCTTATCCACAAAATGTAGAATGAAACATATAGCTCCATGAGCGTATATCCCTCTTTTGAGTGATACATGAGTAATTTGACGAAAGCGTTATGAATTTGGAATAGTCACGGAACCGAATTTACCACCACTAGAAAAATGACATCACTGTGTTATAACCCTACGCACAAGCACGGATACGTCGTGAGCACTTTGATCCACTGCTCAATGCAAGCAAAAATGTACTGTCCTAAATTCCTTCGTTGTGTCTCGATTTCTCCGAGTATGATATAGACGGCGAGCATCTATTATACCTCCAGCGGCTAAAGCTAAATCGGGGCGGCATTGTAGTAGCAATGCTTTCGGCGATTTCGTTAAACATGTCCTGGTTGCTCATGGCATTATGGCAATTGAAGCAATAGTGCAGATGCACTAACAACTTTATATCGGCAACGATTCGGCTTTGTCGCGTGTTGCTTCTGGGAAGTCAATTCGGCCTACCACGAGGACATTAATTTCCGACCTTGTGAAATTCACTTCATTATATGAACCAGAACTTTGGTGTGTCGGTTTGTCGGTGTGTGTGTGCGTGTGTGTGCGTGTGTGTGTGTGCGTGTGTTGTTCTGTCGTCCGGACCGACCGCTACAAAACCAGGGAGTACGGAAGGGCAACACTCGAGATGTTGGGGGTAGAAGGAAGAGGGATAGAGGGAAGGGGGCAAGAAAGGGGAGGGTGGGAGGGGGAGAGAAAGAGGGAGGGAAGGCGGCAGAGAGTAAGGGAGGAGAACAGGCGCTGTCCTGCCGCGAGAGGGGCATAAGGACGAGAATGCTGGGGGAGTGAGCATTGAGAGAGACGGCCGTTGTGTCGAAGGGTTAAGCGGTCCTATATCATGTTGCAACCTGATTGGTTGATGTGATAAACATCGACAATGGCTACAAAACACCGAACGAACACATATCAGCCACTCATTCTACATGATGGTTGCACGAGACAGCGTAGTCGGCTGGCGTAGGGGGAAAGGGTGAGAAGAACCGTGATACGTTGCGATTAGCGGGCGGAAGCAAACTGGTATACTTATAAATAGTAGCATGGCACGGGGGCGCCCGATAAATCACAAACTGCCAGTCACTCACCTTTGGAAACTCACGTAGGATGATGCGTATGAGACCCCACGTAGAACTTGACTCCGGACAGTGGGTGGATTGAACAATAGCATTCAGGCAGTGGAGAGCCGTGCGCGGCTCGGAAATGCCCACAAAAGTCAGAATGTGGCGAAATCACTAGTTGATTTGGCTAGGCATCTTTCCTGTTTATTTTTGGGTTTTTAGCGCTTATCCAAAAGGCCTCCAAAGTTTTGCGCGCTGAAGTGTGGGGCTCTCGCGTCAAGATCCTTACAGAGACCTCAAACTCCGCGCCTCCAATGGCACTGCATCCGATGACCACCCAGGGGGTCTCAGGCCTTGACTTGTTTAGCCCGTCTAGGTGTTCTTTGATCCTGGTGCACAACGGTCGCCCAGTTTCCCCGATGTATTCTTCCCCGCAGAGCGCACATGAGATTAGGTAGACCACACACGATGTCATGCAGTCACCCTCCGCCCGTTAGGACAGATAACACAGGGGTAAGGCAAGCGTGGTCTACCAGCGGTTGCGGACTAGCTGTCGCTTCAAGTTTGTGGGGGGACCTCGACCACCTGGCCAGATCTTCGAGACCACACCTGCTGTTCTCACAGCAAAGCTGATCCAGCCGCTCACGAAAGGTAGACAGAAGCTATCTTTCTAGCACTAAAAAGGAACAGGAGAGATGAATTGCCTAGCCATAACTAGTGAACTCGCACCTTTCGCTGACTTTTGTGGGCTTCGAGCGCCATCGGCATGGAGCCGGTGAAGCCACCCACAGCGAGTCAGTCTAGCGGTGGTCTCAGCAAAATCCTACCGTGCGTTCTAAGGTGAGTTGACTGGTGTTTGTGATTTATGGCCCCCCCTGGATGCTACTGGTCTATGGGGACTATTTCGAAGTTCGGAAATGATGTCTGCGGTAGGTCGCACTGATCTTTGACTTTCCCAGGCTCTGACGAAGGCGACAAAGCCGAAACGTTAGCCGAATAAAGTTGTTGTACCACATGATGCCAAGATTCATCGAATGTCAAACTCTGACTGTACTACATGTCCTTTTCGTTGAAAACCGGACTAAACCTTAGGCGGGGAGGAGAGGCCATGGGTCATTTTTATTTTCCCCGGGATTGCTGTCCCTCCTAGGCTTAATCCTGAAGGATGGCCCCGTATATTGCGATAGCGCCATTTCTATCTTTTCTTCCAGTGGGCCGCGTTCGTCGTTGCTGGTATCATGGATTGCGTCGGTGCATCGAGGAAGGCAAGTGATTGATTTCTTGATCCGGTAGCATTGATGCCACCACCTGTTTCGTAATTAGGTCAAAATCTCAACGTTCCTGCTCATGCTTGGCACCGACTATGACTTTTGTGTAGAGTACACGGTTTCCATGAAAAATCCTAGTTTTCCTAACTTCGAAAAAAGTGACCGTGATGAGTGAATGGTGCCCGTTACTCATCATTTTCACATTATAAAACGATGCATTCACCACTGTTTTTCGGAATCCATCGATCGCCTCTAATGGATTGGTCGGGTCGCGTAAGTGAGCGAATGTCTTGGTGTCTGCGTCTCGCTCGTGTCCTGTGCTCTCTCGTTTTTCCATCTGCTCACCTCGTTGCCCATTTCCCGTGAACTTCGCCCAAAGACACGCTCTTTCCTTCAGAATGCTCAACCCCAGGGTTCCTAGCGGTTTATCTCCTTTTCCTTCTACGGCAGTCGGTCTTCGTACATTGAACTTGTCAGGTGTCGAGCAGGCTTCACCCGAAATATTCTCGAGCTCAGCGTATTCCTTTAGGTATTTGAATACATGCATCGGAAACCGGCTATGGCTTTAGATGGAACGGAAAGGCCTGTGTTGAGAGGGACTGTTCGATTCGAAGACGTCTACTTTACCTATCCTTCTCGTCCGAATAACCCTGTCTTAAAGGTGTCTGCCTTCAAAGCTTTCTTCAATCACAATTCTCGCAAATTTCGTAATCTATTTTCCACTTAATAAACCGAAAGTCTTTCTTCAGGGTTCTGAATTTGACCATTCCGGCTGGATCAATTGTGGCTCTAGTAGGCCCGAGCGGTGGCGGGAAATCGTCGATTGTGTCCCTACTGCAGCACATGTACGAGCCAAACAGCGGAACGATCACCATTGACGACATTCCTTTGAAGAAAATCGATCATGAGTATTTTCACGAGAACGTGAGCACTTTAGAAACATCGTGCTTCCACAGCGAACACTTCCTTTTTTAGGTAGTTCTAGTGGCACAAGAACCAGTTTTGTACAATGGAAGTATCAGAGATAATATTCTTTATGGATGCGACTGGGCGACGGAGGAAGATATGTTGGAGGCCGCTGAGATGGCCAACGTGAACGGTTTCGTCATGGAGTTGGAAAAGAATTACGACACCATGTGTGGAGATCGAGGCGTACAAATGTCGGGTGAGTTCAGCCTTTTAGGGTAACGCACTATCTAAACGTGGGCCCAATCGAGAACCTTTCGGGATTCAGTCACACAGCTACCCACGAAACAGCCGAGTAATGCTACGGTATTGCTCAGAGTTGAGATACGGGCGATAAGGAAATGCGATAAGGCGATTGCTCAGTGGGCGGTGCTGAACAAATCTATGCGCATGCATTTTTACACGCCTTATCTCATGTGCGGTCTCGGACTGTGAGACGTGGTCTACTCTCAAATCAAATCACCGCATTGTTGTTGAATAAGTGCATCAGTTTACAAATGAGGTTCGGTAGCAGTAGCGCTAGTGACGTCGATTTGGATGTGATGTAGCGCTCCCGTCTTGGCACCTGAAAGGCTACTACGTGAACACGTTGACGACAGCGTGACGCGGTAACGCGTCCCACTTTGCGCACCTCGTGGGACATTGTGACGCGGTAACGCGTCCCACCCAAGTCATCCCTTTTTCTTGCGCTTGTGCGACTTATTCCTAAGGTCTTTGTACTCATTCTATAGGTCATACATTAGCATACTTAAAAACCACATGGCTCACAGAAAGGCCAAATTTCTTTAGCTGGCAGACATATGATCTGTTCGATTCATTCCTCGTTTTCTTTTCAATAACGTAGACATGTTGATAAAAAGGAATAACAGAAGTGAATACAAACCTATTCGTATGGGAAATATGTGTTTTTACTGAAACAACCACGTCCAAATTAATTTTGGAACCACTAAAGGGAAATTGAGTAAAATTCCCTTTTCATGGCCTTAACACGTCATTTCGGTCAAACTTCCATTACTGTAACTCCTGATAAGCTAGACAGATCGAACATCATTGAAAACATTTCATCGCATCTAAGTATTGCGGATTTACAACTTAAAATCCATGGATTTGGTGTGCGGCGGCTGCGCTCGCAAAATCGCTCTTGTCCCACGCGGTGCAAAAGCACAAAACGCGCGATGTCGTCAACGTGTTAAGGCAAGTCTGCCCAGTGTTGTGCTCCTGAATCTCAGCACTCACGCAGTGCAGGTGCTCGTGGCGGGAGCGGAGCCTTACCTCAACTGGCTGGCAAATGAATAATAGTCAAGTAAAACTGCTGATGTGCTGGTTCAATCTCATACGTTTGTCTTTTCCAGGCGGTCAGAAGCAACGTATAGCAATTGCGCGTGCACTGGTACGGAAACCTTGCGTACTTGTCCTGGACGAAGCTACAAGTGCTCTCGATGCCGAGTCAGAAGCTCAGGTCCAGGAGGCAATCAATCGGTACGTTGGCTTTATTTAAAGGAAGACAATCTTGTCTGCAACATTTCAACATATGAAGGATGAAGGATAAAGCATTGACCGTTGATCAATCCCGTTTTGGGATGCGGCACGCGGCAACTAAATCCGCCTGGGGAGATCAGGTCAAGTGTGGGCTGGGCGGTCGCAATGTCTCGAATGTAAAACACAGTCTTCTAAACGGAGCCCCGGCCTACAGTGAGCGCTGCGGCTCTACAAGTCGTTTTATAAGCCAGACCGTATAATGTATGCTATACGAAGTTATTACGGAATGGACTAGAAAGCGTGGCGCACTATCAACGCTCAGTGTTTTATCCCTTTTTGGTCACAAGTGCTTCTGAAGCTGTCACGAGTCTTTCTTTTTAAGATGCTCTGGCAAACTCACCGTTTTGATTGTCGCTCATCGTCTTTCAACCGTCGAAAAAGCTGATACAATTGCTGTAATCCAGGAAGGAAGTGTTGTGCAGGTGTGACATTGCGTGCAGCTTTTGATTCGTCTTCTCGCACTTTTCTCTTTTAGATCGGTACGCATCAAAGTCTCATGAAGACCCTGAAGGACTGTACTATGCGTTAGTTTCGAGACAACTTCTAACGGAGATGAGCTGATTGCAAAATTTGCGTGAACTCATGTAGCTGGTATCAAGCAATAACTTAGAAGTTATCTTTTCTCTGCTCTCCATACTACTTTTTTTGCTATTCCTAGAAGGTAAAGAGGTTGGATGGATTTCCAGTGGGGCGTTTCTGGATACGCAGAATATATGCCAAAATTATATGCAAAATATACTTATATGCAAAATTCAATTTTTTTCAACTGTGTTGAATTTAGCTACATACAGGCTGACTTTTTACCATCCTTATGGATATACCGCCTACGCTTAGGCAATGTAGTTATAAAAAAATTGAACGAGCACTTTCTTCTTTTGATGATGAACCGCTAGCAACAAAGGAAAAGAAAACAAACTCAGAAACTTCAGTCTAGCCTCTCTTTTCATCTGTGCTCTTTGCGCATCTGCTGCCTTATATTGAAAGCTGTTCTGGGACTTTTTGACACCGAAAATCGTATCTTACATATTTTTATTTTTTACTCGCTGGTTTTTGGGAATGGATGCGCAAACAACTCAGTCATTGAGCCTGACTTTCCTTGTTGGAGGGTGGGATGAAAGCTGTAGGTCGCCAAGTCGAAGAGCGAACTGCCCTATGTTTTGTTGGCTCTGTTTTTTACAATACTGATGTTTGTGCTTGGGAAATCAGCAGGGCTGAAGGGCTTGACCCAAGTTGGTGCAAATTAGCGAATTACAAATCAATTTCAAGCTTTCAAAAAACGGCAACTTGCCTGAAATGGTAGCCAAGTTAAATTTGCAGCAATAGCTTAGAAAATTGTTATGTGTCTGAGTTTTCAAGATGGAGGTCGTTCTTGTACCATAAGATCTCGTCATGGTAAGGGGCGTAAGGTTCGAAAAAGTTGAATACTTTGTTTTGATGGCCATTATTTTGGAACGCGCTCAGGTTAGCATATGTTAGATTGCTTGGCACCCGCTCTTGCATTTTGACTGAATTTAGTGCACATCTAGAGTGAGAGTTTATGCTTCTGTTGATTTATTTGTTACTTTGTTGGAGCCAACTTGAGATTGCAAATATTTATCGGGTTTTCATTGTGAAAAATCAAGATACTTCTATGGTATTTATGTTCCTCATGTTATTTTTCTGAATTCATTTATGACCTCGGTATCTTTCTTGTTGTGAAATGGCTCAAATAAGCTTCTTTTCCTGAAATTTCTGGGTGCTTATGAACACATCTGCTTGAACAAGATGAGACTGGTCTGAGAGATGTTTGCATAATGAGTGAATGGACCATAAAGAACACTCTTATAAACTAATTTTGTTATTTTTACTCCTATACACTATGCTGTCGCCAAATTCGTTTAGAAATAGGGGTGTCAAAACAAGTACAATACTGTAATAATGATGCTGTTGTGATAATGGACCATTGTTGTTTTCTGATCATCTCTATCGCTCAAACCTTTGTTGTTGTATCGTTTGTAGGTCAAAGCTGCTCATCAATAATTCTTTGATTGTGTTCGTTAAAAGACACTCGTTGCTCAATAGGTTCATCTTTTTTGATTTGACTTTCAGCTGTAGTATTTATTGTAGGGTTGCAAAGCAGAGTATTATTGTTTTTAGTAATTTAGTAATGTGCCTAGCACGAAATATTTACGATTTGGGTCACTCTTGATTTGTTAATGTTCGGTCGTAGAGTAATAAACATTGAAATCGAGCCTTGAAAGTGAGGGAGGATGCTAAAGTACGTACCGCTTAAAAGGAAGAGCAGCAGTAGGAGCAGTAGCCAGGTACCAAGGGGAGCGAAGTGTGACGTGCGTTAGATCTAATGCACTGAGGTAGGTCCAAACCCTCCCTGTACCACGCGTTCACCCGTGCTCTACCTGTAATTTTGGCTTCAGAAGCATCATAAATCGACGTAGGGGTTCCTAATAAGGTCATATTTTGTGTCTTCTAACGGATTAATCTGCTTTTTTCTCTACTGATGCAGTTTAGCATCACCCTTTCAATTCTAAACCGGTCCAGACTCAATCGTGGCGAGCTTTCATGCCACAGCACTACAGTGTTGAGGACGGTAGACTCTTTCTCCTTCGGACATGGCCGCAAACAGCGCACTGGGAAATGATACTGAGAATATTTTAGCTTTCATGAGGCATTTTCTATCACAACCCGCACTGAAAGAACCATCCTTATAGAAGACTTACACTTCAAGGTTAGCAGGTAAGTAGAGCTGCATTCCATGTTTTTATATGGACCTACTAATATTAACCCCTCACCACTTTTGGTACACATGACCATTTTCTTAGTCAAAAGTGTTACCACAATTTGGGACTTATTGAGACAGGAGCGTTCCATATTAAAATTGTACACATTCAGGAACATTGAGTTCTTTCTGACAACAAATCGTCACAAGGCAAGGCGAGTATCTGTAATACCACTCATTGAAGCAAGTCGTCCGCAAGGTCACAGGTCAGTGTGCACAACTTTCAAAGAAGTAGCTTTTAAGCTTCCCAATACTGAAATGTGTATTTGATAAATGGTAATTAAACTGTCGATTCATATTTCAAAAAAAAAATCATCCATTTAGAGGAGGGTTAACGTACGGTTCTGGATCAAGTTCCTGGTCAAATCCAACGTACGTCAGCTAGAGTTCTAATTGATGCTTTTTTGTACTAGGAGCTCGAAAACACATCGATCCGTTGATTTTTGAAGAATTCGTTAACCTTAGGGTCGAAAGAAAGAAGGCAATTATAATTGATGCGGTAACATTACTACTCCAAAATGAAAGTAGGAATGGAAGGTGAGTCTAAAAAAAGGAAAAAGGAAACAAAGTCTTGTATACACCCTCCCTTTCAAATAACGAGAAAAACGTCGGGAGCAGACCATACACCACAAGTGACGCCGGCCTCCACCAAATGTAAATATTTTCTGCCAATGAAAATGATATTACCCTTGGCAGTGTATTGCTGTCAGTATCATTTAATATACCTATCACTTAATCAAAATCAAGCTATCTTCTATTCGGTGCCGGTAGCCGGCGCGCAGAGAGAACGAGGGGGAGTAAGGAGTAGGAAGGAAGAAAGCTTGCGCAGGAAAGGAAGGTCCCGGCGGTTGACGGGGGACTAATCTGGTTTACTAAAAATCAGCTATCACTATGAATCACTACTAACCAGATTTACTTGGAGGCCGTCGTCAGTTGTGGTGTTTGGTCTGCACCGACGCTCTTGGTTCCCGTTATTTGAAAGGGAGTACAAAGATGGCCGAGCCTCTTGCTCTACAACGCTGCGAGAGCAACAGCGCACGGTGGAGCTGAGGATAATGTGAGCGCGGCGAGGTAGAGAAGTCGCGAGCTAGAGAGAGCCCAGGCAATAAGAGTTGGCCATACGCAGCAGATATGGAGTTGGTGGCGGACTAGTAATTTAGTTTCGTGGTTTCTGTGAGTCGCTGGTCGTCCGCTTTTTGAGCGTTCCGATGTAAGGAAAGGTGGAGCGCGCAGCTGCACTCGCTCGTACCTAGCCTTCTAGCCAGGGTATCCACGGTAAGGGCATGTTAAGTGGGTCTGAGCCCGAACTTTGATTTAAACGAGTAGTTGGTTTGCCAATCAACAAACTTACGGTGAACTTACGATCATACAAACTTGATTAAATTTAATAATCTCACACTCAAATCTAATCTCTCTCTTTCTATCTGTGAACAACTCCTTTCTTCCTTTGCAAGCGTCCCCGAAGGGAACGTTCTCACCTTTTCTTTCCCATTCGACAAACTCTCTTCCCGATGCTCCATTTTGGTCAGTCTCATTTCCGGCTTACCAATCCTCGAACATGTCGCCTCACGTATTACCGACACCAAGGCACCAGGTCCAGTCCAGCTCTAGTCCAGCTCGAATTCTACGACACGCCCATTTATCACGATAGGTAGGATTTATGGCCGGTTCAATGTAACTCTAGGTTTTATGTCTGACTTCACCTCTCTCACTAACAGTCACGCAAGTTGCTGACCATCAAGACTCGTTGAAGTGAAATGAGCATAGCAAATTGACGCTTCCTAGGCGATTCTGATGGCTTATCGTTCCCTTCTATCCTAGAGAAAAATCTTCGCCCAACGTTGGCTGCGATTCCAACTCGACCTGCTGTTCCTCCAGTGCATTACTTTCGGGGCACAAAACTCAAAAGTGGAACAGTTCTGTCACTGATATTCACGTTGCCGATTAGATGTCTCCCGTCACTCCTTGTTGGTCCCCTTCGGAAGTGACTTAAAAGGAGGAGATTTAGTTTGAATACTATTTAGTAAGTGGGGCTACGATCTCGCTCGTTTTATCGATACAGTGGTACAATCAATAAAGAATTCATTTAATGATCGTTGATAAAGAGCACAAATTATATTTCCTGTGTACACCAATTTCAGTGGAGCATCTTGTCTTAGACATAGTGTGCACGAAGAATCCATGCCATAGCAGCCACCACAAAGAAAACTGAAACTCCATTTATGTGAACCTAACAAATATGTAAAAGTAGGTGCCACCATAACTAGGGAGCCGTCAACAGAATCGGCTGGTCGCCGCCGCGAGCAGCCACTTGTGCGGCGTCGCGACGCGACAGTTGCTCGATGGACGTAGCAGTTTGTGGTTTTCAGTGAATTACCTGCAGTCCGCAAGATTATTTTGATTCCGAGTTTTTTTTTCAAATTAATTTCGACATGGTTGGGGTTATAACAAAACAACTGTTGTTTTTCCCGAATGTGTATTTTCTTCTGGGATATTGTTGCTTGAAAATACCATGCTTCAACATTGTATCACAAAGGCCGAAGAAATTTATCTACTCTCTCGAGCTTTGTGTTTCTCTTCTACATTCGCTGTAGACTAGCTGATTTTCAGGCTTACAAACTGGGAGGCCCAGACGGCGCAAATAATCCAAACTTGCATTTAGTGGAACGGTTCCATGACTTTTTCCCATTTGAAGGCGTGACCATAGTGAGCGTGATGGAGTCGGTCTCCTGCGCGCCCTCCACTCGCCCAGC